ACACACGCGCCTGCAGCCAGCCCCGCTGCCGCTTCCCAGCGCCGGCACCATGGCCCGGAGCCTGGACAACATCGACCTGGCTGCGCTCAGGGTGAGTGGCCCCGGCTGCAGCCTTCGGGCGGGGAGGGGGGCCAGGCGGGACCGGCTCCCCCCCCTTTGCGCCTCGGCTTTGCGCTGCCCCTGGCCGGAGCTGCGCCGCGCTCCCCTCTGGGCGCAGCAGGCTCCTAAAGGGGGCTGCACGTTTGCTCCCGCACAGCCGCCTGGTGCTGCGGGTTTCTCTGCGGGAGGACCCGCTCCTCCCCCGCTTGCTGCTGCTGTTCTGGGCAGGGTGTGCTCGGGTGTCAACTCCGGGGTGTGTAGAAAGTGGTTTTCTGCTGCGCTGCACCCACCCCGGGCGTTTGCTTCCTCTGCAGTAGCCGTCTGGCCCGGGCTTGGTGCACGTTTGCTCCCGCACAGCCGCCTGGTGCTGCGGGTTTCTCTGCGGGAGGACCCGCTCCTCCCCCGCTTGCTGCTGCTGTTCTGGGCAGGGTGTGCTCGGGTGTCAACTCCGGGGTGTGTAGAAAGTGGTTTTCTGCTGCGCTGCACCCACCCCGGGCGTTTGCTTCCTCTGCAGTAGCCGTCTGGCCCGGGCTTGGTTTGTGCAGCAGCTGGTTTTAAGCTGTGATGGGCAAAGGATTCCCAGTTTTAGTTGGGAGATACTTTTCCCCCCGGCTGTGCTGGGCAAAGGATTCCCAGCCTGCCCCAGTTTTAGTTGGGAGATACTTTTCCCCCCGGCTGGAGGCAAGTCCCTGCTGACTTGCAGCGCGCTGGCTCCACATGGAGTTGCTCCTTTTGCATCTGTAAGGAAAAAGCAGCTGATGCCTAGCCAAAGACAGGTCTCGTTATTTAGGTTGCTTTGGAGCACTCTCAGGCTACAGGCTGTGCAAACCTCCTTGTAGCTGCCTTCTACGGGGACTGGATTCTTTGCAGGGACAAGACAAACTGGATTTTATCCAGCCTGTGTCGGTACCTCTAAAATGCACCTAAAGGGCCACATGCCCTGATAGGGTAAATGGGTGAAACAACTGAAGTCAAGGGAGCTGTACCCATGTGCATTGTCAGAAAACTTAGCCTCAAGTATTCACCTGCACGCAATCCAGCCTGCAATAATCTTAGTCAAGTCAACTCACAGGCATAAAACAAGCAGAATTTTAGGGTCCAGGGATGGTATTTCATTTGAGTAAAAAGATATTCCAGTGTCATCACTGTCTCGCCCCCTCCAGTAAGTAACTTTCATTGACTTCAATAAGAATTACTTGACTCTTGCAAAGGCACTGGAAGAGGGTGGATGTGGTAAATAGGACCCCTGGGATGATGTGCATGTGTGCAGACATGAACACGCTAGGTATGTTAGCGAGTAGTGGACTGGAGTATCGACTTCTCGCTTCTCATAGAAGCAGGAGGGGACAGGAGCTTAAAAGCCAGCTTCCCCCAGCACCAGCTCCGCAGTGTCACCTGCCCCGCCCCCGCTGCCTTTATCAAAGGTAACGGAGAGATACAGGAGGCTGCCGCAAAGCAGCGTCTCCCTGCAGTGGGCCCACGATCGCTGTGGACAGGGGTTGTTGCTGCCAAGTAGCCCCTGTTTGCAAACAGGCGCTGCTGGACTCAGCACGAGCCTGGGCCTTTGCCTCTTAAGTACAGTAAGAGCCTGGCCCTAATGCAGTGTTGCAGCACAGGTGGCTTCCAGAGCCAGCACGAGCCAGGACTGCTCAGTCCCAGCTCAAGCCAGCCCCTGCAGCTATCCTCCCTCCGTCCCTGCAGGACGGTCCTAATCAACGAATCACGTAGTTGACACAAATTGTATCGACTACACAATTAGCCAGATAACCGCAATTTAACATCCCTAGTGCACGCTATATTTTTGCAAGGCCAACAAAGCTGACATGAATACAGCTGCTTATACATACTCGTATCGTGCCTGCTCTTGCAACTTCCAAGGTTTTAATGTAAACCAGCTCTGGCGCCATAAAACGAACCCTGTTAATATTTCATGCCCACAAACAGTTAACACGGTGGTGCACAATGCAACTTAGGTGGCCAGCTTAGATTTTTAAAAGACAAGCGGAAATATCATGCCAGTCCAGCCACAGCTATTCTAATGCCCTCCTCCGATCCAGGGAGGGGAAAAAACTAGTAAAACTGTGGCGAAACGGATCCAGCCTCAAAGAAGGAAACCAAACTAAGATCATTTCTAACTATGACTTTAAAAGAGGGCTTGGAAAATCCTGGGAAGGAATCATGTGGTGAGGATTCCAAACCCCAGAAACAGGAAAAAGAAAAGCTCTGCAGTGTGCTAGGATTGCAGTGATGGAACCGGACTCGCTGACCCGGTCACAGCCAGGAAAGCCAAAATTTAACATGAAATGTAGCTACGCTTGGACCAGTGAGATGAAGGGAGGAAGGTTCCCTCTTAAGGTTAAGTGGTCGCCTCATCTTAAGTAGGGATGTAAAAGGTTAACTGGTTAACCTGAAAGGGCTGGAACAGCTCCCCACCCACCTCGTAGCTCCATGGGGCTTGCCGGAGCAGCCCCTGCTTGTAACAGGCCAATTCCCCAACCCCTGCTGTAGGTGACATGCTGGTTCCCCAGATTCAGGGCCGGTGCAGCCCCTGTCGGTTCCACGCCCAAGGAGACTTCGCTGTGGGCCCTGCAGTGCATGGAACCATGTAACCGCTACGATTTTTAGTGGTTACAAGGTTACATTTTTAACTGCATTTTTGCATCCCTAAGCTTCAGAATCCTGTGTAAGCAGGCAGGAGAATACCTTTGTACAGCAGCCTGCCGGCTCTCAAAGCCAGACGACTCCATACAAGTCTCCCAAGTGTCGTTTTACCCCAGAGAGCCTGAATCCGTCAGGTCTAGGCCTCAATAGGTCAATACTAAAGTGTCCCAAAGTGCCCCCTGGATCCACATGTGTGACAGCCCAGCATGATTCTGGGGGCCAGCAGAGGCTGCAGGCATGGCTCCATGCTGGAGGCGGGACAGGCAGAGGCTAGCATGGTTCCAGCCCCACAGAAAGGAAGGGGGAAAAGTTTGATCTACAGTCCTGGGACTCTGTGGTCTGGCAACATCAGAGCATGCAGGGCAGCAAAGCCGGAGGGGCCGCCGGACTTAATGGGGCAGGGTTGCCGGGGCCACTGGAACTCACAGGGCTGGTGGGGCCCCCAGAGCCCGACGGGACGGTGGAGCCGGCAAGGCTGCCAGAGCTGTTGGGGCAAGGGGCAGCAGAGCCCAGTGGCCAGGGAGAGGAACCCAGCAGAGAAACTGGCACCTCTCCCATTTCCCCCACCTCCCGGCCTCCTCTGGTCTGGCAAATTCCCTTGTGTGGGACCAATCAGGTCCTGAGGGTGCCAAACCAGGGAGATCGAACCTGTGTATCTATTTTGTAAAGCCCCAAATCCTTGGGCCGGTCATGGCCAAATGAACGCCAGGTAGCGCTATCGCATCGTTGTGAGAGGCAACCAATAGAGGGCAATATCACGGCAAAGGCACATGGCCTTCCGGCAAATTGCTTTACTTCCCTGCACCCTACGGTACGTCTAACCTACGTTTTAATTTTGTGGGAATTTGCATATCTACTTTCGATCACATTTTTGGAAGCAGGTTTTTCAAAAGTGAAAGTCGTCTGGATGCAGTTTTTTTCAGAAAAAGCACTCCTTTTTTGGAAAAACTGCTCTTCCTCAAAAAATGAGGTTTACACGGTTTTTCGAAAGAGGGATTTTTCCTTAAAAAAAAAAAAAAAAAACCCTCATCCAGACTACTTTTGCTTTCGAAAAACCCGCTTTAGAAAAAGCGTTCGGAAGAAGATATGCAAATTAGCACCGTATTTCCATATCTCCTTTCGGAAAAAAAACGTACTCTAGACGTACCCATAGTGGGATGGGCTGAGGGAATCGTAACAGAGATGTCCTCCTCCCAGGCCCCCTACAGCAGTGGTCTGGCCCATGGATTCCAAACATGCCTGGAGCATCTGGGTGGAGTTGTGCTACTATTTAGCTTCCAGACCAGGCTGTCACCCGGTGCTGCGCTGGTGAGCTAATGGTAGACATTTGTTGCAGAACTTCCAGGGTTGTACATTTTATATGGGCAACCCCACGGCTAAAATACCTTTCGATTTTGGTGGTTGTTCCTGCAAAGAGGGAGAGAGGCCCAGCAAAAAAGTCAGAACTGCAAACTCTTGTCTCTTGCTTGGCTGCCAAATTCATAAAAAGTGCGTTTCAGTTGGTATCCTGTGGTGTGCAGCATTTGGCACGCCACCCTGCAGAGCAGTAATATGTCGCCCAGGTGGCATCCAGGTCAGCAGTCTTGCTGTTGTCTTTTCAACACTCCGCAGATGATAAAGGAAAGCACAAAGACCAGCATATGGTACAGGGCATTATAGTAATTAACCTCAAAGTGATGAATGTTTGGATCCGAAGTTTGGCATTGGTCTAAGGAAATGTAGCCACTTGGCAGTGGGTAGGTGGCGAAGGGTTATACGGGCCACAGAGTTTTGAAATGTGTGCTGAGAGGAAGCATTACATCAAAGAGGATTCCTGCCTCTGAGATCATTAAGAACTTGGCCCAGTGTGAGGACTTAACCATAACGTGCCAGCTGGGGAGGCAGATCTAAGTTGGAGCCCAGAATTTGTGACCCCGACAGAGCCTGATTTAATGCTGGGCTTTGGTTAAAGGAGAGAGATGGCCAAGAATACTGGCTGCACTCATTGCTTTGGGGATTTGAGACCTGAAAATTCAACGGGCTACTAAAGGTGATGGACAGGATTTGTTATCCTCCCTCCCCTCAGATTTGGTGTCACGTTAACATTCATTTTCAATAGTGGAAGCCAGTTGCCAGCTGCATCGGTTTTTCCTAATGTGCTCAACACCTTCACAAACCGTTCCGGAGAGGGTTGGGCTTGGTAGGCCACATGGGACGAGAAAGCTCTTTGAGGCAGATAAACCCAGGTTTGCATTTGCATAAACAGAGAACCCCCTTTCTATCACCCTGTTATTACAGGCAGAGTTAACGTGACCATTGAGCGCATGAATTTCCTGAGCAATTAAACTTCCTTTCATCCTCATTGTGGCGTGCCATTCATGACTGCTAATTCCACACCTCTGCCTTATAGAGAAAGATCCCTGGGTGGGGAAAATGCTCTGGGACTCCACTCCTGTGGCCAGCTTGCTGCTTAGCTGCCCATGTTCCACTCTGCGCATAGACAGTCCTGCCTCAAGAGGTCTGCTAGGCACCAGCCTCGTGGCTCCTGGTTGATTCCCTGTCCTAAATAAACACCAAGGCTGCAAAAGCAGCTGCTTTTGCGGAAAAACTTGCCAGCTGTCTACACTGGCTGCTTGATTTTGTGCAAAAGCACTGACTTCCTACTGTCCGAAATCAGTGCTTCTTGCGCAAATGCTTTGACGTTCCCGTTCGGGCAAAAGCCCTTTTTTTGCGCAAGAGGTCCAGTGTAGACAGCTAAAAACCGTTTTGCGCAAAAAAGCCCTGATGGCGAAAATGGCGATCAGGGCTTTCTTGCGCAAAACCGTGTCTAGATTGGCACGGATGCTTTTCTGCAAAAAGTGCTTTTGCGGAAAAGCGTCCGTGCCGATCTAGACGTTCTTTTCCGCAAATGCTTTTAACGGAAAATCATGCCAGTCTAGACATAGCCCAGGGCTGTTCCAGGAAGCGTTCAGGTAACAGTGTGG